GCAAAGAGTAATAACAGGAAGTGGAAAAAGCCTTGTAAGCATGCTCTTACCTCATACTTATAGTGGTGATCTTACTCTAGTTTTGTCTTGGTACCCAAGAAAAGGTTGTCTGAAAGTACAACGGGCTACCCGAAAGGGATAGTTGATTGCCGTTATAAACTAACTAAGATTCGTCCTTATCCCCCTGACTAGGATTGCTTATGTGTTACAGTTATCCTTCAATGTGTCTCTTGGGAAGTATCGGGTCGAGTTGTTTGGTCGTGGTCCCTTTATGTCTTACGTCAAGTTGTGTTGTCTTTTGGGCCGTTTATGTTAAGTACAACATTTGGACCGACGGTCTTGTTATTTGTATTTCGGTCTTTATGGGTCTAGTAGCACTTGGGTCGCTAAAGTTTAATCATGGCACTTGGGTCGTCGAAGGAGCTCGTGGGTCGTCCACAATGAGGTTCAGTGGGCCGTCGCTTAATTGACCAGGTCGTGCTCTCAGCCTTAGGTCGTTTGGTGACCCAGTCATAGGTTTGGGGTCACTGTCATGTGTGTTGGGTTGTCGTGCTTCAAGTCGTTCGATGGCGGAGTATATGCGGGTATTTGGTGTAGCCTAGCACATGCAATGGATCGAGTTGTGCATGGTTCATGGAGACCCAATGGGTAGATAGAGCGATTTAGGTTATTTTTATTTTTATTATTATTATTTTTTTCTCGTTTTCGTTTTAGGTTGACTATATTTGTATCTATATCACATTCTCCTCTTCTCCCCCTCCCCCACCCCCACCCCGACGTACTTTGTGTAAGTTCAATCCGTAGCTCGCTACGAATTACGATCAACTTAAGATGATATGTCATTTTGTCAGGTACGTTCAAGTTGTCAAGTGTATTAAATGCGGATGTGAGAGGACATCTTAATGTTTGAAAAAAGTTATCTCGTACAACATGACTGACTAGACCCTGGTAGTAGGCCATTGATTCATTTTTTTAAATGTACTTTCCGTCAACTCAAAAAATTTTAACTCTCCATCATTTTCAATTAACTATATCTTACTTTCATAACAAATCAACTTTAATCATTATATTTTAAATGATCTTTTAATAAATCCAAAATCTCACAAAAACCTAAAACAATCAAAATTCTGAAAAATAATTATGGTTATTTTATAAATCTAGTTAAAATCAAAATAATGTATATGTAAGAACTTTTTCTTTATTAATTTTCAATAGTATTTTTATTGATAAAATAAAATCAATATTAGACGTTAAAAACAAAGTGATGTGCATAAATGGAGGGAAAGTTGAAAAGACAGTAGGTAAAGACTACTGTGACGTGACTAGGGCTTGCGTTTTGGGGTTTTGGACAGTGAGTGAGTGACCATTAAGCCCCTTGCCTACACACCTCACTCACACAATGGGCGGTGCTGCTACGCATCAACCACTCAGAAAACGCTCCAACAAAAACTCCTCTTCCCACCACCACCTCCACGACGGCGACCACCGAGCCGGCGTCCAGTCCGATCCTTTTCCAGTAGGCGCCTTAGTTGAAGTTCGAACGCATGAGCCAGACTTCAAGGACACATACTTCTCCGCCACCGTGGTATCTTTAGGCGACAAAAGCTCGGGGGAAATCCAAGTGGAGTACCAAACTTTGCTTGTTCCAAGAGGCGGATCGAAGCTTCTGAGGGAGTACGTCGACGTCTCGTGCGTGAGGCCGTCGCCTCCGTTGGAGGAGGCTGTCGGGGGTTTTGGGCCGGGCGACGCCGTCGACGCGCTGTACAACGACGGCTGGTGGATCGGTGTCGTGACGCGAGTAGTGGAGGAAGATACGGAGAGTAGGTACACCGTGACGTTTCAGAACCCGCCGGACGTGCGCGAGTTTAGCTTGTCTGAACTTAGGGTTCACTGGGATTGGGTTAACGGGAGCTGGGTCAGACCCGACAGGCAGGTATAGAACACTTATCGAGCTGAATTTCAGGATTTTTTTTTTTTTTACACTTTTATTTGCCACCTGAAGTTCTGTAGAGAACTTGATAATGATTGTGTCAAGCTGGGTTTGGTGTTTGATTTTGGGACATGTTCTTTCATGGGTACAAGCTAGTTACAGGTGCCTTATTGTGTTTGAGATAGACAGATTTCTGATTTTTTTTTGTGGTTCCATAATTTCGGGTGGATGGTTTGTGGTTTTGTAACTTGATATTTCGATAGATTTTGGAGCTTGATTTTATATGCTCCACACTTTGTAAGGACGGTCACGACTCCATTAGCACTTTAGCAGATATGTCCAGTGGTCAGATATGATTTCTTGTTGCATATTGCGTTGTGCGGTAGTTGATTTATTATAGAAATGATTTGAGTTTAAAGTAAATGTTAACTGGACTATGCAATGATTGAATATTAGAAGATGCATGGATACATTTGTCATCAATGTAATTAGTAGTTACTTTATTGTTTTTGAATTTTGTGTAGAGTATAGCAGGGTGGATGTTTGACATGGAAAAAGAGGTAGAAGTGTCAATTGACCGAGAAGATGGCCAGGAGGCTTGGTTCCCAGCAACAATTCACGAACATTTGGTTGATGGAACGTATCTGGTAAAGTATCATGACGAAACTAAAGAATCCGAGGCTCACACTACCCAATTAATAGTCGATTCCCTCCATATTAGGCCGCAGCCTCCACTTCTCAAGGATACAAATTTTGTTTTATTGGGAAAAGTTGATGCATACTTTGATTGTGGCTGGTGGAGTGGACTTATTCGGGCAAAACTTGAGGATAGTAGATATCTTGTTACCTTTAAACAGTTGAATATGCAAAAGGAGTTCCATATGTCAGAATTAAGACCTCATATGGAGTGGAAGGATGAGAAATGGTTCATTTCTCCACAGGTTCTTTTTGATCACTCTAGAATTTCTCCACCTTTGATTTATGATTAGACATTACATTTCTTTTTCAATTTTTTCCTTATTGCCATCCCGGGACAGATCTTGAAATTTATGTCAAGGGGGTGCAAGTAAGAAAATAATTTTTAAGGGGGGCGAGCTGATAAAAATCTGGAATCCTACACAACTATACATAAAAACAACAATTTGGAAGTTCAAGGGAGAAGACCCC